GCGTCACGTGAGTGCCACACCCCCTCTGCCCCTGCGCTCAAGGCCTCCCAACAAGCTGTCCCAGGACTCAGAAGCAGTTCCTTCATCTACCACGGCTTCTTCCTCACCCTCCCGCAGGATGGGGAGATGTTCCCCAGGCGGGGCTCATGGCCTCTGCACTCACCTGGGCAAGGGGGGGGTCACTGATGCACTAACCTCGGGGTCTGAAGAGAAAGGGAAAGGCGCTAATGAGCTTTTGTTTAGTAAAGATGAAGGAGCCGCACAAAGATGGTTAGCTTGGGTGCCCCCCAGTGGTTTACTGGGGGAACTACAGCTTCCCCAAGCCACATCATAAACAGAGCTGCTAGAGCAGGGAATTTTTGTTCTGCGAGAGCCCTCCCTGACCCTCCCCCAGTTCTGCAACTAAGTTAGTCTCAGGAGAACCCTGCACATATGGAAGGCCTCTTGGGTCTCCACTGTACCAAGAGGCCCTGGTCCTCACGGCAGCTGTGGGGTGCCATTTGGATGAGGTGACTCCTCTCAGATAGCTGTCTTCTTCCCATTTGACCACCTGCAACACTCAAACCCCTGTTCTAAGTCTTTACGTTGGATGTCTGGCTCCCGAGTCCACTTCACCTAACCCGTGTCTGCAGGTGGAGAAACTGGCGCGGACACTCTTCTTGTGGAAGATTGAGGTCCATGACCAGAAAGAACGTGTCTACGAGATGCGGCGATGGAACGAGGCCTTGGTCACCAACATGCTGCCTGAGCATGTCGCGCGCCACTTCCTGGGGTCCAAGAAGAGAGACGAGGTAAGAGGGTGCCGTGTGGAGGTTTCTGTTATTGGGATGAAACACCATAAGCAACTTGGGGAGGAAAGGATTTATTTCACCTTACACTTCCAGGCAAGCAGCCCATGGAGGAGGCCATGGAGGGGTGATCCTCTTGCTCAGCCTGCTTTCTTATAGCCCCCAAGACCACCTACCTGGGGGCGGCCCAGTCCATAGGGAGCTGGGACGTCCTAATTGACCCACAGGCCAATCGGGTGAGGGGCATTTTTTTTTTTTTTTCAATTGACGTTCCTGTTTCTCAAGTGACTCAAGCTGAGATCAAACTAGCCAGCACACTGGGCTGTTACAAAGGCTGGGATTTTTTTTTTTTTTTTTTTTTACTTTTTTTTTTTAAAGACAGGGTTTCTCTGTAGCTTTGGAGCCTTTCCTGGAACTCACTCTGTAGACCAGGCTGGCCTCAGACTCAGAGACCCACATGCCTCTGCCTTGCGAGTGCTGGGACTAAAGGCGTGCGCCACCACCGCCCAGCAGGAAATCTTTTTATTCATAGTGGGAATGAGCTTTTTCAATCCAAAAAGTTGAGTGCATGCGCAGGCCCTGTCTTTATTTGTGTGTGTGTGGTACGTATGCATGTGTTCAGATGGAGGCCTCCGCAGTGGCTGTTTTCCTCTACTGTTTTGCCTTCTACATATGGACGGAGGGGCTCTTGCTGAACCAAGGCTCACTGTCCTGATTTGCCCGCTTGCCCCAACTCTGGTTCCTCACAGTTGTACAGCAAGCGCCTTACCCTAGCCTGGCCTTGCCTCTTTTTAGGAGCTGTACAGCCAGTCTTACGATGAGATTGGAGTCATGTTTGCCTCCCTGCCCAACTTTGCGGACTTCTATACCGAGGAGAGCATCAATAACGGTGGCATCGAGTGTCTCCGCTTCCTCAATGAGATCATCTCTGATTTTGACTCGGTGAGTGGCCTCCATCATGGAGCTAACACCTTTTATATCACACCCCATGACCTTCTGCACAAGCCAGAGCAGCAGGGTACGCTAGGCTGGCCTCATTTCCCGTGAGAGTTCTATAGTGAGCGGACTTGTGCAGCCGTCCAGAACTGATGGGTCTGAGGTGGGATCCGGGGGCTGCCCTGGCACGTTCATGGGATTAAGGACTTCCCATTCCTCCTACTCTCAGACCCATATTAAACACAGACTGAGTATCTTTCCTTAGTTGCTCCACCACCTGAGGGGACTAGCCACGAACACTAAGATTACCATCTCAGTGTTAAGGGAAATGGGGCTGAGCATCACGTGACAAGGGATCATGGAATGACTAAAGTCATTATGGGAAAGCGTCTTTTCGTCATTTTAGTTGGTCCTCGTAAACAGGCGAGTTGATAGGAACTCGCTCATCTTCCCTTGGTTCTAACTCTGTCCTCAGCTCCTGGACAATCCCAAATTCCGGGTCATCACCAAGATCAAAACCATCGGCAGCACCTACATGGCAGCTTCGGGCGTCACCCCCGACGTCAACACCAATGGCTTCACGAGCTCCAGCAAGGTGAGTCCAGCAAGGCGGCGACGCAGCCGCGTAGGAGAGAGAGAGGCAGCCAGCCTTAGCCCATGGGACACGAGGAAAATGAAGTTAGTGAACACTCTTGTGCAAAGGGCTCATTCCCACAGTGCCCCCACACTGTGTGAGAACTGTATCCTCCTGGCTGCCGGTGAATGAATGAATGGCCTTTACCAAGCTCCAGTAATCTACGGAGCCTGCCGTCATCTCCAGGCCAGAAAAGGAACTACGGGGAACTCGGGGCCACGCACTGTTCCTAAATCACCTGGTTTTCCTTCCCACCTCCACTTCCTGAACGAGCTGAGTAAAGCCAGCGGAAGGTGGCCCAGCAAGGGCTTCCGATCTTGAGGCACCGAGAGGGGACAGAGCTCTGCCTTGTAACCAGTCCGTCACCCGGCACAGAGGAAACCACCGAGACGGGGCATCCTTCCCACCTTCTCGGCCCAGCCTCTGCCTCACACAGATGCATGAATTCTGCAGTGGTGACACGCTGGCCCTAAGGAGCTGTGGATTCCTTTCGGGGAAAGGAAAGGAAGAAGGGCGTCAGCAGCTGTGCCTAGCTGCTACGGTCACGGCCGGGATGGTTCTCAGTCACATCGCTTTTCCACACAGGAGGAGAAGTCAGACAAGGAGCGCTGGCAGCACTTGGCCGACCTGGCCGACTTTGCATTAGCCATGAAGGATACGCTCACCAACATCAACAACCAGTCATTCAACAACTTCATGCTGCGGATAGGTAAAGGCGCCGTCGGTGCTGGGGCACTCAGCGGGCCAAGACAGATGGGTAGGGAAGGGCCCACTAACAGAACTGGAGGGGACCCAGATGACCTTTACTTCTGCACTCTATAGGAAAATTCCTATGTGTGCAAGGGCAGTCCAGCCTCCCCTCAGTCAGGCATTGCCAGAAGGCTGTTAGGAGCGGCTCTACTGCTTTTGGGAGGTGACAGAGAAGCTGGCCACTATAGTCCTGAGTACGTCACAACGGCCAGCTGTGCAGGACTTAGCAACTTTTAACAAGTAGAGAGGTGTTATATGATCAGGAGCCCAGGGAGGGTCACGTGAGCACCTACGAAAGAGCAATTGTAGCTTCTGAGAGGCTAACGCAAGCTTGGCTTGTGGCCACGCTCCACTCTCTCCCCCAGGCATGAACAAAGGAGGGGTTCTGGCTGGAGTCATCGGAGCCCGGAAACCGCACTATGACATCTGGGGCAACACAGTCAATGTGGCCAGCAGGATGGAATCCACAGGGGTCATGGGCAACATCCAGGTATGTTCTGCACCAGGACTGGGCATGCGCTGAATGCAGGAAGTACTACAATAAAAGGGGAAGCCTGGGTGCTTTGCCATACCTTACTGCCCTGGCCTGGGGGCCACAGGACCAAGCGTTAAGTGTGCTGCGGCCTCTAGAGCCTGAACAGAAGGGAGAATGGGCTTTGGTCCATTTCCAACACTTAAGATGAGTAGTTGTGAGTGAATAAAAGCCTGCCCTTGGGTACAGAGTTGACATCCTGTGCTAACAGCAACTGAAGCACCTTTGACCTTGAAGAGTCGTCTGACGTCTGAATGTCTTGGGGCTGGTCCACGGCTCCCATCTACCCATGTGGGCTGGGGTAGCGCTCTACACTCCGTCTCTGTACACTACTGAGGCAGCGGGACCACCTGGACCCGTGAGCCCTAACCACTGTACCCCCCGGTCTTCTCCAAACTTGTCTGTTCTCCCCGTGCAGGTGGTGGAAGAGACGCAGGTCATCCTTCGCGAGTACGGCTTCCGCTTTGTGAGGCGAGGCCCCATCTTCGTCAAAGGGAAAGGGGAGCTCCTGACCTTCTTCCTGAAGGGCCGGGACAGGCCGGCCGCCTTCCCCAACGGCTCCTCCGTTACACTGCCTCACCAAGTGGTGGACAACCCCTGAGCGGCCCCGGCCCCACCGTGGTCCACAGCGGCAGGGAGATCTGTCTCACAAGTGAAGAAAGGCTTCTGGGAGAGGGCCACTGACCGAGTCCCGGTGTCCCCGAACCGTCGAAGTGCACATTCCCATAGACTTTAGGTTTCCGATTTCCTCGGCCTGCCTTCCTGGGTGGACGTGAGCTCTGAGGGTGGCCGCTCCTCCTCCTCCTCGCTGTGCCTGTAGCTTCCCCAGAGTAGGGGTCTTAGGCATAGTACGTAGGGACAGCCTTCGTTCCAGCTCAGCCCTCCAGCCCGAGAGGCCATGGCCACTGTGAGGAGGACAGACGGACGGCGGCGGCAGAGGCTAGATGAAGCCGCCTGGGCGGTGGGCGCTGCTGAGGAGCGCTCAGTGTGGAGAAGGCTCCCTGCCCGGCTGGCATCTGCAGCAGGGCTTTTCATGGGATGAGGAGAGCTCCACAGGCGGGCGGGTGGGCGGGCTGCCTCCTCCGGTCCGGTTAGGTCAGTGGCCCTTACCCCGACGTTCCTGATAATCTTGAATGGTTCTTCTGGAACCCATGTCACCTTAGTCTCGAGAGCAGAAAAGTGCAATATTTCCTGTCACCTGGGAGGGGGAGGGGGGGGCGATTTCTGAAAGAAAAATATATAAACAGATCTTCTACATTTATATTTTTAACCTGTTTAAAGACAGCCTTCCGATATTGCCTTGTCTTCTGAGCTCTTGCTACAGCCGCCTTCGCCACTGCTTCAACAGAGAGTCTGCAGGTGTTGACCAAGAACAGGACTGTTTTATTAAAAGCTTTACTCAACTTGATGGCACCCGTGTGGCAATTCTGTTCCCGCGACACCTCCTCCCCCACCACGTGCCTAGAGGGCGGAAACGGGACTGAACCTTATATTCTAAGCCTCGGTAGGGCGACCCATGCGGGCTCACCCCTCCTATGGTCTTCCTGGAGTTTGCTGGAGCTCCCATACATGGAGATTTCCAGGAAGCAGCTAGTTCCCGGGAGACCCAAAGGCTGGGCCCGTGGAGGATCAAGGTCTTACTTGGGACTAGCAGGGGAGAAACAGGAATTGTAACAGGAGAGCGTGAGCAGCAGATAGGTCTAGACAGATGTTAAGAAGGTCTACCAAGGAACAGTGCATGCTGCACACGCGGCAGCCATGGTTGGAAGGAAAAGGGGCGTTAAGAGCATTTAGGAACGGAAAGAGGAGGGGACAGCCAGCCAGGCCTGGAGCGTGCAGGAGGAGACGACAGGGGAGGTCCACTGACTGAGGTGCAGATTTCTCAAAGTGACTTCAGGCCTTCAGCTCTCGACCAAGGTAATTTAGGAAACAATATTAAATACAAAGAACCCCTAATTACCAAAAGTACTTCTCCCATCAAACAGTGACCTAGAACATGCTACTCCAAAGCAGGGGTTAAACACTTTCCCTTCTGAACTAAATGCCCAATCATAGAAGCTAGAGATGCCCACAAAAGGTCTTCAGTTACCCCCCATTGAGCTGATTCTCAGCAAGAATATACACATATGAGCCAATCAACCGGTACTTAGAGAGGAAGAGATGCTCTGGAGTACTGTACCGAGTGACCAGGCAATCAAGGAGACCGTCCAGATCGCCCAGTGTCCACAGACAGGAACTCAACAAACGACCAAGTGGGGGTCTAGTCTCACGGCAAGGGTGGTGTCCAGGCAAGCACTCACTCTCTCCACAGCTTTGCCGACAGGTCCTGGACTGCAGACAGCATGGACGGATTCACTTCGGGTGTTGTCCCCAATAGCGAGTTGTTCAGGAGACGAGGCTCAAATCCAGCCTTTCAACTTGCTTGGAAAATGAAGCGAACACCTGGTGCAGGGGCTTGGCTCGGAAGAGCATTTCATGGGATGTCCTGTGCTCTTCCCAACGAGCGGACGAAGCTTCTGCCGCTAAAGGAAAAGGTTCTCTCAAGCTCATTAATCCAACCAGAGGAATCAGAACCAGGTCACCACTCTTCCCGACCCATGTGACTTTTTAGTTTTGTCTAGCTCTGGAGAGGTTGCTCCTTACCAGACAGACCAAGGTCATTTTGAGAACAGGAACTTAGAAAAAACAGAGACTAGAACAATCTAAAACGTGTGGGTGTGAAACTTGTAGCATCATCAGATTACTGCTTTTTAAAAAAAGTTAAACCAGGTGGTGGCGGCGCATGCCTTTAATCCCAGCACTCTGGAGGCAGAGCCAGGCGGATCTCTGTGAGTTCGAGGCCAGCCTGGGCTACCAAGTGAGTTCCAGGAAAGGCGCAAAGCTACATAGAGAAACCCTGTCTCAAAAAACCAAAAAAATAACAAACTAAAAAGGTTACTGCCCATGTCAGATTATTACGGTACCTCTACACGAGTGAAAACAAGTCTACTGGCTAACCCTGAAACCCACCCCTTACAGAATATACGCTAGAGGGCTAAGTGTCTGCTGACTTCATCACAGACAACCCCAGGACTCTGCCTGAGTTGTCTATCTTGGGGGGGTGGGGGACACACGTCCATGAAAACAAGAATTCTGGCTACTCTGGGAAAGGCAAGGAACGTGGAAAACTAAGATGATGATGCTTGGCATTTACAAAGGAAAACTGTGGAACAAATTCTCTTTGTATCTTAGAACATTCCTAGCATGTGAGGAGAAGGGGCTGTAAGTGGTCCACTTGATGTTACTCTACACGGTTCCCTCCATTTGCTTAAACTGGAGGACGCAGTTTCTCCTCGTACCTGCACACGTCACGGCGACGTCTGTGGGGAGAGTTGCTGTGAGGTCCTCATACAGCAATCTGGCACTGAAGGAGGAGGTCTCGCGCCCCTGATCCACTTTATAGGTAAAGGACAGCAAGTTGCACAGGGCGTTTCTCTGCAAAGGTCCAGTGAGGAAGGCGCTGAAGTCAGCCTGGCGGGGTAAGGCATAAAGGGAGGATGTGACCATGAGTGCTCCAGAGGCACCGTGTGGTGTGGGGCGGCCTCTCCAGCCCGACGACACAAAATCTTGTCTCAAAGGGACAAAAGGGCTATCGAGAGTCTGGTGGGAAGCACCTCAGTAAATGATGAGGGAACAGAGGGAGGAGGAGATGCTATTTCTGCCAAGTTTCACTGAGATTCTCTTCTACGGAAAGACATTTTCTTTAATTGATACCTGGGCAGAGGTGGAACTGCCAGCTACGGAGGTCACTTCCTTCTTTTGTATTTCCTTCCTGCCTCTGGTTCCCACCCTTAGAAGTCGGGCTAGCGTTCAGGAGAAGAAAATCAGCAGTCCGTCCTCTATGGTACTGAACACCTGCACTTAGGGTCGGCACAACATTGAGCACAGAACATCAGAGCTCAAAATCCTTGCTGAATTAACAGCATGGCAACTCCATCTTGTGATGAACATGTGAGGGTCACCATTAGGAATGGGATCCTGTAACCAGACCTGTCTTTCAACATCTTTGAGAGTTGCAAAAGGGTGTGAAATAAAGAGGGAACTTGTTTGAGGGGAAGAAACAAGTATAAGAAAGCCAGTACACAAGCCGGTGTGGCACATGCCTGTAATCGACACTGAAGCTGAGGCGGGGGGATTGCTCTTGAGTATGAGGGTGGCCCGGCCTTCATAGTAAGTTCCAGACCAGCCTGGACTACACAGTGAATCCCTATTTCAAACCAACCAACCAACCAAATACAGAGTAAAGGGAATGGACAAACTTCTGGCTCAGCGTTAGGAAATGTAAGGGCTGGGGTGTGGCTTAGTGGCAGAGTACTTTCCATCAGGCACAAGGCCTCCAGCCTTGCAAAAAATAAATTTATATATAAATAATAAAAACAAAATCAGCTATGCTGGCACACACTTGTAATCCCAGCATTTAGGAGGCAGAGACCAGTATATTGGCCCAAGTTCAAGACCAGCTAGGATTGAAAAAATCTCTTGTCTCAAAAATAAATCTTTAAGAAAGCACGCTCTTAAAAAAATAAATAAATAAATAAAAACAAAACAAAAAAACAAAAAGCCACGCTCTTAGCCAAGTAGTGGTGGCGCATGCCTTTAATCCCAGTAATCAGGAGGCAGAGGCGGAGGATCTCTGAGTTCCAGGTCAGCCTGTCTACAAGGTGAGCTCCAGGACAGCCTGAGCTGTTATACAGAGAAACCTGTCTTAAAAGAAAAAAAAGAAAGCCGGGCGTGGTGGCGCACGCCTTTAATCCCAGCACT